TGCCATTACTGCAATGATTTGATTACTGTAACTTTGCAGTAAGTTTTGAAATCAGGAAGTGTGAGACCTCCAGCTTTACTCTTTTATAAGAATATTTGGCCATTCAGGATTCCTTGAGATTCCACATGAATTTCGGGATGGATTTTTCTATTTCTGTAAAATAAAAAAGGTGCTATTGAGATTCTGAAAGGGATTGCATTACTAAAAGTGCCAAGCTGTTTCCCAAAGTGGTTGTACCATTGTACAGTTCCACCGTGTATTAAAATCCAGTTAGTCCATATCCTCACCAACACTTGGTCTGGCCAACTTTCATTCTAGCCATTCTAGCAGATGTGCAGTGGTATCTTGTGCCTTTAAATTTGCATTTCCTTAATGACTTATGAGAATCTTCTCATGTGTTTATTTGTCATCCATATGTCTTCTTTGGTGAAGTACCTGTTCAAATTCTTTGCCCATTTTTAAATTGAGTTGTTTTCTTGTTACTGAATTCTAAGGTCTCTTTATATATTCTGAATCCATGTTCTTCAACAGATGATTATCAGTCTGCAGTTTGTCTTTTTATTCTCTTAACACTGTCTTTTGAAGAGCAGAAGCGTTTAATTTTGATGAAGTCCAGTTTATCAATACAATAGTCCCCCCTTCTCCATGGTTTCAGTTTTTGAGGTTTCAATTATACATGCTCAACTGTGGTCTCAAATATTAAATGATTAGTTCCAGAAATTAACAATTCATAAGTATGAATGTGCAGTGGTTCTGAGTAGGGTGATGAAATCCTGTGCCATTCCACTCCATCCCACTAGGGACATGCATCATTCCTTTGTCCAGTGTATCCACACTGTATACACCATCTGCCTTTTGGTCACTTAGCAGCCACTGAAGTTATCTGATTGACAGTCAAAGTATCTCAGTATTTGTGTTCAAGTCACCCTTATAGTGCATTCTTATACTGCCACAGTGTCTCCATCATGCAGCTCATTTGATCTTATCACACAGGCATTGTATCATTTCTCATCATCACAAGAAGGGTAAGTACATACAATAAGGTACTTAGAGCGAGAGAGACCACATTCAAGTAACTTTTACTATAGTATACTGTTATAACTGTTCTATTTTATTATTGGTTATAACTGTTAATCTCTTACTGGGTGTAGTTTATAAATTAAACTCATCAACAACCACTGAGTGTCTTGGAACGCATTCCCCTTGAATAAGGGGAACCACTGTATCTTCAATGTGGATTGTGCTTTTTATGTCATATTTACAAATAATTGCCAAATTCCAGGTCACAAAGATTTTATCCTTTGTTTTCCTCTACAAATTTTGTAGTTTTAGGTTTAATTCTTACTTTTCATTCCTTCCTGTGTTTGATTTTTTTTCTTAAAAGAAATTTTTGGGTACCTCCTTCAAGTAGAACCTGGGAAAGGTAAATTCCTCATTAGAAAGGTAAATTCCTCATTAGAAAGGTCTTTATAGTGTCTCCATTCATAGTGTACCAAGCTAGCTAAACTCACAGTTTAGCTGAGTGACTCGGGCATCTCTCAGCACTCTGTGTATATTATTCTACTGTCTTCTGGCTTCTACAGCTGCCATGAAGAAATCTGGGTTAATCTAATTGAAATTCTTTTATAGATTTTTTTTCCATAAGTGCTTTTGAAACAATATTCTTTCATTTTGTTACATCTGTAAGTATGGATTCAAATTTACTTATCCAACTTGGGGCTTGTGTTTCCAAATCTTTACATTCACATTTTCCATCATTTTAAATGTTGCTCTATTACTTTACTTCTCACTTTCTGGAACTCTTCTTGAGGCACATAATGAAATTGTTCATTCTTTCCTTCAAACCACTTAACTGCTCTTTGTATTTTTTGTAACTTGTTTTGCTTTATAGAATTCATTAATTCTCTCTTCATTCAGATGCATTTTATCTTTTTACCTAATCCAATGAATTAAAATTAAAAAAAAAATTTTTGAGACCCTTTTTTCATTGCTTTTAGGGAGAGAGGAAGAGGAACAGAGAGAGAAAGAAACAGGAGTGTGACAGAGAAATATGGACTGGTTGCCTCTTGTACATGCCCCAACAGGGGATCAAACCCACAACGCTGGTATGTGTTCTGGTCAAGGATCGAACCTGCAACCTTTTGTTGTATGGGACAATGTTCCAACCAACTGAACCACCTGGCCAGGGGTCCACTGAATTTTTAAAAATAAATCTTATAATCTCCATAAAGCATTTTAACATAGCTCTGTAGTATGCTGTAACTTTTTTTTTTTTTTTTTTTTTTAAGATTTTAGGCCAGTGCTCAGTCCACTGAGCCACACCAGCCGGGGCTGTATCTAGCTTCACATATTAAAATTTTATTTAAAGTGTTACATTGCTACTTCCTCAAATCAGCACCAATATGTTCATTTTTTCCCCTAGTGACAACTGTCTTTTTTGAACTTTCTAGTTTTCCTTTATTCTGTGTTGTTTGAATTTTTCTAACTTGTATTGTGAAAAATTTTAAATATACAAATATTAGAATAGTGTAAATAACCTCCAATTTCTCTAACTGATTCAAAATTATTATTTTTTCGTATTTGTTTTTCTCTTTATATATTTTGTTTTCCATCATACCATTTGACAGTAAGTTGCAAATTAATTGAAATTAGAAGTCAGAATAATGGTTACTCTTGAGGGCAGGTACTGAATTGGGGCTGGGGAACACAGGAGAATCCTCTCACACACTAGAAATGTCCTGTATCTTGATCTGCTTGGCAGTTACACTTGTAAAAAGTCACTGAACTGGACACTTGAGATTTGTACACTTTAAGTTGTATTTAAAAAAAGAGGGTGGAGGGAGTTGCAGGTGTGATGACAAAGCACCTCTAAGTACTTACTCACGTATTTTCTAAGAATAAAGACATTCTACTACATAGTAACTATTATCACACCTTAAAATTATTAATTCTATAATAGCATCTAATATTCAGTCAACATTAAAAATTTTCCAAGTCTCAAAAATGCCTCTTACAGCTCTTCCCATCTTAGTCCCAAACCAGGCCACACACTTTATTTAGCTGTTATGCCTCTTTAGTCTTATTTAGTGTAGAATAATACTCAACCTTTTAATCTCCATGACATTGAGGTGGTTTGTCTTAGAAGATGTACACATTCTGATTTTTCTTGTTTCCTCATTGCACCTAACATCCTGTGTTTCTTGTAAAATGGAAGGTACAGAAATTTGACAACTTGCAATCACTTTTAGCAATATTTTATGGGTGATAATTGTTATCCACTGACTTTTTTCTTTTGTTCTTTTTTTTAAAAATTTTAAAAATTTTTACTGAATTTATTGAGCTGATATTGGTTAATAAAAATATACGGGTTTCAGGTGTATAATTTTACAACACATCATCTGTACACTGGATTGTGTGTTCACTGCCCCAAGTCAAGTCTCCTTCCATCACCACCTATCCTCCCTTTACCCTCACCTGCCTCCCTTCCCCTCCTTCCCCCTCTGGTAATCACCACACTGTTGACTGTGTATATAACTTTTTATTTATTTATTTATTTGGCTTAATCTCTTCACCTTTTTCAGCAAGCCCATCCTCCTCCCCTCCAACAGCTGTCAGTCTGCTCTGTTATCTATGAGTCTGTCTCTATTTTGTTTGTTAGTTTACTTTGTTCATTAGATTCCACATAGTAAAATAATAAGGTACCTGTCTTTTTCTGACTGGCTTATTTCACTTAGAATAAGATTCTCCAGGTCCATCCATGCTGTCGCAAAAGGTAAGTTTAAATTTAAAAACTACCTGGAAGTTCTATTTTGTTCTTTCTCAGAAGTTTAATCCAGCTGTTTCTAAATCTTCTAACTCACTAATGGTAGACAGTTTCCTTGTATATTTTATAAACTGGATTTTGAGCTGGTCAGTGGGGCAGTCTCTCCATGAATTCCATGAGACCTAAATGGGCCAGGGAGGATTTGCATTTGCTTTTGCCCTGTGCCTGAGTGCTATTACCATTCTAGGAGCCGTTGTTATGTTAATTTCTCGGGTAGAGAACCCCACACTATGGTGAAACCAGATCTATAGTTAAGAGTTCACAGGGTAACCTTTACCCTTTATTTGGAGCCCTGGCAAAGACAGACAAGTTTCATTGCTACTCATGTATGCTGGTGAATAAATTTTCTTCCAGTTCACCCTTTCGCTGAAGGTAAAGCACCTCAAGACTCAGCTTTATATAAAGATCTGAGTCCCAACTATGTCTGTGACACTGGCTGAAGGCCTAGTCTTTGTTCCCACACACTGACCTTCGTATCCATATCTATGTTGCACATGGTGAAAAACTAACCCCATTGGAGGTTACAACAACATAGGTGAACAAACTTTCCATGAAGAACCAACATTACTGCTGATGCTGTCTCAGAAATAATTAAAAACTACTTTGACGATAGTTGTATTGGAAAATGAAATGGTTTTTGTTAATATCAAAAGCTACCATATACATTATAAAAGTAGTGATATTTGCAGGTGCCATATTTACTTAGTCTATCGACAGTACTTGCTACACTTGAGGATTACAGACCATCTGAAATAATTCCGTGAATTTCCTTGCTCTAAATGTTAGAGTACTCTGTTCTAATGGTGACACTAATGATCAACAAAGTTATATAAACAAGAGGAAAAATAAATGCAAACAGAGATTTCTCAAGGGTAAAAAGTGAATCTTACCTGATAGATGTTAGACAACAAGCAAGTACTAGTTTTAAAATTCTGATCGATTCTGAACTAGTACTTAGACTTGAGTGTCAAATCTGACACTAAAAACAATACTATTTGTTACAGTTAAGGAACACAGACTTTGGCACCAAATAATTGTCTTTTCCTCCCTTGTTTGAAATGGGTGCTTCAATTTGCATGACCACTGAGTATGAAGTGATAATATATTTCATTTTCAACAACTGGTCTTTCTGAAAAATACAAAGAAAAGGCAATGATGATATTAAAAGTCGACTCACCACTGTCCTCTGTTTGTTGGGCAGGAAGACTCTAACAATAGGTTTTTGTGGTGACTTAGGGTTGCTCCGTGACACATCTGTGGGGTTTTGAAAAACTGAAAGAGATGAAGGTAGCACGGAAAGGCTAGAGGAGGAAGAAGATGTAACGGTGTCTGTTGATGCAGAGCTAGAAACAGAAAAATCAGTTCCATTCCCCAGGGATTCCAGTAACTGTTGTTCTCTTTGCTGGAGGGCATCTAGCTTGCTGGTGTATTCTTCATAGGCCTATAAAATAAAGTAGACTTACACTGAATCTGGACTTTTTCCTGACAGTAACAAATGGAAATACAAAATTTAAGTCCTTGTTTATAATCTCTTTATAACTCAGCTAACAGGGTTTTAAGTTATGTTACAAAATAAGCACTGAAATTACTGTCAATGAACACTCTTACCTTTAAATTGATAAATCTTTTGTTATAAGATACTATATTACATTGAGAAATTGGTACACATATATAAAAGAGATGTCTAGAATATCTATGAGTATTAATAAATGAAGATAGTATAAAACACTATACTACATCAAGGATAAATACCCTTTTCATTAAAATCTTTTTTCTCAAAAAAGTTGTAAGCATGTGAAATTTTACACTCCTCTTCCTCTGCTCAAAGAACAGACAAACAAGTTGTAAAGCAGATGAGGTATTAGATTTGTCAAAAACAAGGCTTGGGTACACAATGCCAGAGCTCACCATTACCACCAAAACCTCTTCAATAGGGCTTAGAAGAGAGGTGTCAAACTCACTTTCACTGTGGGCCACATCGTCCTCATGGTTGCCTTCAAAGGGCCGCATGTAATTTTAGGACCGTGTAAGTGTGACTACTCCTTAACTAGGGGTAAGGAGTTTGGTGCTGCCACCAGGCTGGATAAAACAAGGTGGGGGGTTGTGTTTGCCACCTGTGGGTCAGAAGATGTATATCTGTTGTCTTCCTTCTGAAATAGCTATCAGTTAAAATACTTTATTCCTCTCACTATGGATCTCTGATGACCTCCTTCCTCATCAAATACTGCTTAGAGAATAAAATTTTATTTGAAAGGTGGCTTACAAAATGCAGACAAGAAATTCTGGGACCACTGTCCTTTTTTGACTAAGACTGTAAGGTCAAATGACCACATATATCATATTTTAAGCATAAGAAGAATGTTGAAAATGGAATGATATTGAAAGAGATGGAATGAACTGAAATATACATGTCCATGATTCTTTAAGACAGTGGTAATCACCCTCCTCAACACCATGGTCCACCATTTATTTCTCCCTAGCGCCCCAAATAGATGCAGTACTACATTTATGAAAAGCAACAGGGGGAATAAAAGATTTAGAGATAGCTGTACTCATCTCTCAAGTTCATTACTGGACTGCAGAGGAGCAGATGAATGTATTTTTACTTGTGTAAATGCTATAGATGACAAAAAACATTCTTGATAAAAGAATGAGGAAGGAGGGGGTATCTTAAAACATCATTTAGACGGATGGAGTACATGGGGAGAAGAGGGTACTGTGTACACGATAAATTGTGTAACAAAAGGAGGTAGAAAATTGTAAGACATAGGGAAAAATTATCAACTAGTATAGCTGAATGTCATACAATACCTGGGACACAGTAAGGAATCAATACATATTTGTGGAATTTAAATGAAGACTAGAAACACATGCATAAACAATAAGACTAAAAAGTGGGTAAGGGACCACATTGTAGAGAATATCATGCTATGAACCCTGAATTTCATTCTATAAGCAAGGAAGAATTATCAAAGGTAGAAGAGAATGAAGGAAAAATTGCATTTCAAAAAAGGCCACTGCACCTGGTATGCTAGATCTTACCACATAATTTCGGGGGGAGGGGATGAGAGAAGAAAATACTTAAATGAGCTACTGAAGTAAAGAGTCTTCTTTACAACCTACAAGGTGCCCTACCCTGAATATGAAATGTTTTATAGCATTCCAAGGCATAAGAACCAAAATTTTCTGTGCTGTATTCTATATAACTTTTAGTTACAAGTGCTAATCATTTAAGGGTGGCTCTTTTAATATGATCCATTTATTGAGCTTTCTTTTTTTTCTTTTTTTAAATATATTTTATTGATTATGCTATTACAGTTGTCCCATTTCCCCCCTTTTCTCCCCTCCACCCTGTACCCTCTCCCACCCACGTTCCCCACCTTTACTTCATGTCCATGTGTCATACTTATGAGTTCTTTAGCTTCTACATTTCCCGTACTATTCTTGCCCTCCTCCTATCTATTTTCAACCTACATTCTATGCTACTTATTCTCTATACCTTTTCCCCCTCTCTCCTCCTCCCACCCCCCTGCTGCTAGCCCTCCATGTGCCCTCCATTTCTGTGGTTCTGTTCCTGTTCTAGTTGTTTACTTAGTTTCTTTTGGTTTTGCTTTAGGTGTGGTTGTTAATAATTGTGAGTTTGCTATCCTTTTACTATACATGTCTTTTCTTTATCTTCTTTTCTTAGATAAGTCCCTTTAGCATTTCATAAAATAAGGGCTTGGTGATGATGAACTCCTTTAACTTGACCTTATCTGAAAAGCACTTTATCTTCCCTTCCATTCTAAATGAGAGCTTTGCTGGATAGAGCAATCTGAGATGTAGGTCCTTGTCTTTCATGACTTGGAATATTTCTTTCCAGCCCCTTCTTGCCTGTAAGGTCTCTTTGGAGAAATCAGCTGAGAGTCTGATGGGAACTCCTTTGTAGGTTACTGTCCCCTTTTATCTTGCTGCTTCTAGGATTCTCTCCTTTGTTTTTACCTTGGCTAATGTAATTATGATGTGCCTTCGTGTGTTTCTTCTTGGGTCCAACTTCTTTGGGGCTCTCTGAGCTTCTTGGATTTCTTGGAAGACTGTTCCCTTTGCCAGATTGGGGAAGTTCTCCTTTATTATTTGTTCAAATACGTGCTCAATTTGTTGCTTTTCCCCTTCCCATTCTGGTACCCCTATAATTCGGATGTTGGAACGTTTAAAGGTGTCCTGGATGCTCCTAAGCCTTTCCTCGATTTTTTGAATTCTTATTTCATCATGCTTTCCTGCTTGGTTGATTCTATCTTCCTTCTGGTCCACTGTATTGTTTTGAGACTCAGATTACTTCCTTTCACTATTGACTCTCCTCCACGTATCTTCCTGCATCTCTTTTATGGTAACCTGCATCCTTTCATCTAAATTGCGCCCAAAATCAACCAATTCCGTGAGCTTTCTGATCACCAGTGTTTTGAACTGTGCATCTGATAGACTGGCTATTTCTTGGTCGCTCAAAAGGATGAGTCCTGGGGGGACTGATCTGTTCTGTTGGAAACATGTCTTATGTCTTTCCCTGTCTCTCCTTTTTTTTTTTTTTGGTCTGGTCGCTCTTGTTACGGTGGGGGACAGAACCTTAGGTGTTCACCGGGGCTGGGCACCCCAGTCGCTAGATTGTGACGTTATATGTGGGGGCGGGAGCGGGGACGGGAGGGAACAATGGCGGTAGTTCCATTCTCCTAGGCTCAGACCCTTCTCTGGGATCCTGGGCTGCGAGCTCTGCCCTGGTCCACAATCGCTGCCTCACTGGTTCCCCCAGCAGCTGCTTGCGTACTCAGGGATCATCGCTGCATTCTTGTGCTCCGGATGGCTGTCGCGCCGATTTCACGCCAAATTGTCCCCGACCTCCACGCGCCACCGACCCGCGCCAGCCCCGCCTCCGCCCGGCTCATCGTCTCCTACCAGTCTGGACGTAGGGTCTACTTCAACTTCTTGGCTGTCTGACTTCCATTCAGATAAATCCTCTATCAGTTCTGAGTGTTATTCTGTCTGTAAATTATTGTTGTTCTAATCCTGGTTGTGCGAGGAGGTACAGTGCGTCTACTTATTCCTCCATCTTGCCGGAGGTCTCCATGACTCAGCTTTCAAACAAACCAGTTTGTCTGGAGGCGAGTGGTGGTGCCGCTGATCCTGCGGCAGCAGCAGTGGGAGACAGCCCGGCGGGAGGACGGGTGCGCTGGCTGGCTGGGGACCATTTATTGAGCTTTCACGTGTACACGCTTACATGTGCCTGGCATCGTTTGGGGCTCAGTCTACAAAAACAAAGACCAATGAAATTCCTACCCTTTGAAGATGGTACACATGCAGTCTGGTAGATAAAAGTGCCTCCTTCCAAAGATCAAATACTATTTATTGAGCAGCCCATTCAGCACACAAAATTTGCCTTAGGAAAAGTAATACATGTAAACAAAACATTTCTGAGTGTTATTTATCAAAATGTTATCCTTAATTTTTGAAAATACACTGTTTCCTTCATTGTTGCTTACAAACAATTATTTCACTGCATTCATCAGTACCTCTTCCTTTTCTTAAGCATAAAACATTTACTTATTCTCTCTCTCTCCACTGTCACAGCTGCAATCTACCAAAGCACTTGCCTACCTAGTTTTGTACCTGGCTTGGCTCATTTCACCCTATTATCTATCCTGGCTGCATTCAGTGCGGATGTGGATTACTCTTTTAATACTCTTACCTTAAAGTTCTTTATACCTCACATCTCTAAAGGCATTTATTTCCACACTACCTTTGAGACCCAGAGCCATATTACACAGTTCCTTACAAAAGAGCTCCACACGATACTGAGATCTCCGTCTCGAACCTCCCACAGCACTATGCACACACACACACACTTATCCCACCTTCGTAAGTTTTCATCTCACTACCACAGTGATGTGTTCACGGTCAACATTAATCCCTTCAAGTTTCTCAGATTTGGGTCTTTGTTGTCTTATTTTCCCTAAAGAATAGTGCTCTCTATTTCAACAATGCCACTGGTAACATCTTAGATTCTCTGGCTAATTCTCATTCTTTCACCAACCTGCTTGTTGAGTACCAATCTTGGGTAAATCCCACAACTCAATTATTCCATTCTTTCTCTCACATTTATATATATACAATATATTGCTGGAGAAAATGATAAAGCTAGGCTAATTAGATCCATAATCAATTTGTGGAACTTGGTCCTTCACACTACTGCCTGAAAATGTTACTTATTTTTAATATCATATTAAATTCTTTACAACACTTATTCCAACCTTTTCCATGCTTCTCCAGCTCCTAACTTCATCACCATTCCCAACCCTTAATTCACTTGGAAAACAGCAATACCTTCAAATTTACTGAGGATCAAAGCCATCAAATAAAAGCTTCTCTTATATTCTAAGCCATTCTCCACATCTTTCCCCATCCCTTTTCTGC